AGAGAAAAAAAAACCAGAAAAAAAAAAAAAGAAGGATTTATAGATGACATTGGCGTGGTTGGGGGGGGGGGGGGGATGAGAAAGGACAGCTTGAAACCAGATCTGTCTATTCTTGTTAAAGGGAAAAGAATATGGAATGCCAAAAGTCTTTTTTTATCAAAAACCATACCCAGAACTAAATTTGCTGTTTCTAAAATCTTGACATTATGTCTTGCTCTTTCCCTTTATGCTTCTTAAACAGTGCCAAACTTCCATAATGGGCATAGAACTGAAAAAAGCAAATTCTTTTGAAAATATGCTGGATTATTCTGAATTTTTTTTTCCCCAGATCAGAAGTCTAATCAGGAAGATGGCTGGATCCATAGTTAGAGGATTCTGTTAAATAACTGAATAAGGATTGCACCTTAGATTTCACCATCAGTTTTATAACTGCATTTCATTACATATTCTGTGGGTAAAGGAATACAAATTGTAGTCTAGTTTTACAATTTTCAAGAGTACATAACACTTATCAGGCAAATAGCAGAAATGAACAACAGCTCACTATTGGCTGGGAATGATGACATTGGCAGTCAGTTCCTCCTGCCAGCTCTGTTTGTTCTTGAGATTCTGTTCTGAGTCCCTACATTCTCTCAGCTCCCGGTCTTGTTTTAAAGTTCTGTTCTTGGGTCTGGCAATGCTATCAAGCTCTTACAATGAACAAGTTGAAGTCTTTTAGATGGCAAGAAGATTGCAGGTTTTCTTTTTCCCCTTTTTTATGGATTTTCAATGTCTCTCCAGCTCTGATGCAGCTTTATGTAGAAGGAAGTTGTGCCTTGAGTCAACAGAACCACAACTGGTGTATTTTCTTCCAACTACTTCTTACATGACAGACAACATCTACGGTATGCTAGTATTGTGCTTGCCCAACCGCATAGGCCACAGGCTGAGGAAGAAGTCAGGAGGAGGAACACTATGGTCGGGCAATGCATCGGTTGTTTACAAATTTCCTTTCCACTGCAGGGAAGAATAGTCTCAGAGATGTTTGCAGTCCTCCAACTCTTAGTGTCAGATACAGAGCCTCTCTAAAACATGCAGCTTAATTATAACTTTATATGAATGAAATGAAAAAGTATTCTTAAATGGAAAGTGATCTTATTAATGATATTTAATTTAGTTACATTTGATTTAAAATTACAATATATTAAAACAAATTTAGTGATATTGCTGAAGAAAAGAGATCAGGGAATGAATGGGAGGTATCCAAACAGTTTAATGTTTCATAGCAAATACTTCATATTACAAAGCTGAATTTGCCTGAAGGGTGAAAGTGTTTTGTAATAACCTAAAATGTGTACCTATAGACCTGAAATTGTAACATAGAGGCTCTCCGTGTTTCTGAGAGATCCAAAGCTCTTCTTTTTGAAGAATGGTGATGATTCACATCTTCCTTATTTCAAACACTTCAGCTTCCTCCACCAGCATGCTAACTGGTTGTGCATGACTACATCCTTTAAGCTAAACAGCATTGAGTCATTTTCCCACGGTCCCCTGAATAAGCCATCAGTGAACTGGTAACTCCTTTCACATCAGTAAGTACCACTATGTTATTTTTGAACAAACTAAAAACAATGATTATTCATAAGCATTCAAAATGTCTGTGTTGATTAGTTAGATATTTGATAGCCTCCCACAGAAACCTTCTATTGCCTCCATCTTCACCAGAAAAGGAAGTGCTTCAAAAGGACCAGGCACTGTAGCCATGTACCAAAAAGTACCAAATCTTACCAACTGGAGGAAGAAGGATTCTACTCAAATAGAACACGTGATTTAATCCTGCTTGACTCCGTGCGTTCAAGACATCCAACTCAGTGGACTGCCATGGAACTCTTTCTCAGCTGGAAGAGTCCACCATGTCACATAACCTTGTACAACTATCATGTAATAAAATGATTCTTCCTCCTTACTGCTGAAGTGGTGGTTTATCTGTACAGACTTTCCTGCCTAATATAGCTCTCTGACATTAAGCCAAAAGTTAGGAAAACAGTCTTTATAGTAGCAAGTAATAAAACAGAACCCAGACAGGCTGCAGTCAGCAGCAGTAGGTAAGATAATTATGCATTTGCTTATGAGGTACATGGATACTGTTCTGCATTGTACAATCATCTAGCCACAGTTTGCAGCCTCCCTGGCTTCTCATGCTTCACTTAAATCCTAATGGAATATAGCCTGAGGAAACTCACTGGACTTCTTCAGACTGGGAAGTATGAGCAGCCAGGAGGTTTCTGAGTGATGGGGGGATCTTGACAGAGAATAACACCAGCTGTTACTATGCTCTGCCATGTCCAACAGAATTTTGGAGAAATGCTCATGAAAGATTATGTAGTAGTTATTTAATTGCGAGGTGGCCAAAGACTGTGTGGATTTTGTATCTTTCATAGTATAATCATATTCTCATTGGTCTGCATCCTTCCTATGTTGCAGTTAAACCCCAATGGAAGACACCATAAGGGAATTTTTCCTAATCTGGTTTTTCATAGTGGTGTTACATTCAGTGCTAATGAGAAGTCTCATCTTGAGAAATTGTTGGATAATTTTATGGGATAATTTCTCCTTACTGGAGAAATTTGGAAAAATTGTCCACCCAGTTTCTTAGCCACAAATTCAATGGAGAATGTCATAAAGCCCATTTGTAACCAATTATAGTCTCACAGTCAGATGAATAACCAATTGTCCAACTCCAGGAAAAGTTCCTGCACCTGCTCCTAAATATTTCCATTTTAGAAATACAGCCCTTTTATGAATATCACGCTCTGAGGATGACTTCTCTGCAGCCATTCGTATGCACAGAAACAACAACAAAAATATAGAAATATCTGGGGGCTTTTTAAGAACTGTAATCGGTATTCAGCAGGGATAGAATCATTGGAAGACTAATCTCTCAGTCTTTCTCAATGTGGTGCTCCTTCACATGTGTAGAATTCCAGAATTCTCATAATGACCATCTGGAGGGCTCTCAGGTTGAGGGAAGGCTGTTCTTAAAGATCTGGTTGACTGCCGCCCAAATGCATAGCTCCTTGCTTATCATGCTTCTTCTCCATCCTACCAGACATCATCATACCAGATGTGATACAAAATGATTCATAAATGCTTGTGTGTCAGTCTGGTTCCCCTGGAACTTCAGCCCTAAATTATCCTATGAGTTTTACTGCTGACTGAAGATTTGAATGTGGTTCTTCCTAGTCCTAATCCAGCATTCTAACCATTATACTACAAAGAGTACGGTGGGATGTTTTTAACAGTTCCACATAGTATTTATCAACCAGAAATTCAATAATATTTCTATTGTATGAAATGTATATGCTGATGTAACATGAATTTCAACAAAATAATCTCTCTGATAGTTTAAATATTTGTTAGCAAATATTAGATATGTTTGAGCTTTTATACTGTAAGACTTACTAAAAAAAAAAGATGAAATTCATTTTAAGTAGAATATCATAGGTATATTTATCACTTTTTGGCAGGCCAGGTTTACATGACACAGAAAGTCCTAGAGCAAGAACTCAAGTATCTTTTTTTAAAGTCGTAGATAGGTCCTTTCTTATTCTGATTCAGAAAGAAGAGAAATAATACTCTAAATATCTCATTTTAAACATAAAACTTAAGGACATCAAAATATAATGCATTACCTATTTTTTTTAATTAAAGTATCAGAAAAGCCCTAAATGGGCAGGAATCAGAGTAACCCATAAACTTGAGCCAAAACTCAATGACCAAGAAACATTTAAGATGCAGAAAGTCTTCCCAGTTCAGATTCTCAGTATTTCCAATAAAGCTGGAAAAACTAAAAGTAGAGACTCAAAATATACTGTACATATAAGGAAGTTCCCCCATGTTCTTAAACATTTTGAGATTTACATTTGGTTTCTGAGACTCTCCTTGAACAGGTTGCTAAGACCATTTTACCCTAGCTGGATCTTTTAGTCAGATCTGTTATATCATGCAGTTATTTCTGCTTTCTTCCCCTATTTTAGTTTTAGTGTTTTTAACTTGTTGTGATCATACAGTCATGAAGTTGGAAGGAGCCCATGAAGCCCAGCCTCCTGCTTGTTGCAGAAATCCAAATGCAAGCATCTGAGAATGAGAGGTGCTCAGCCTCCACTTGAATACACCCAGTGAAAAGGAGCCAGACACCTCTCTGGATAATAAGGTCCTCTGCTGAAAGTCCAAATCCAGTGGCACTGATTCTTCAGCTTTTCATGACCTACTGACCATGGGGGCAGTTCGGTGTTGATAGAGAAGCATTTACTCTGTGTCCTCTCTTTGTCTATCACTCTGCCTGCTTTTTGTCTAAGAGGTTCCTAATCAAAGGTCATTTCCTTCTGCCTTTCTTCCCAAGCACACATACACAGAGCACATGTTCTTGGATTCTTCTCCTTGCAAAACGTAGTTAGGTAGGGGCTAGCCTTTGCCTATCACTATAATAATAATAATAATAATAATAATAATAATAATAATAATAATAATAATATCATCTCCTTTCTGTTATGTTATAAAATCTGCTTCACGCATCATTGCTTAGGTCAGATTCCCACTGTTAGGAACACTCACATTCGCACACTGAACGTTTCAGTTTCCAACAAAATTGGTCTTACTGTTCCTAAATTCTATCAGAATTTGCCTCTATATAACAGATACATTATTTTGTTTCCTGTACTCTGTAACAAAAAAGAACAAATGTTGACCTTTGTCTCTGTGACAGTCATTCAGGTATTGGAGGAGTATATTATTATATCTCCCCTCAATTATCTTTTCTCAAGGTTAAACATACTCAACTCCTTCAATTTCTTTCATAGTTTCTGGTCACCTAATCATTCAGTCGCCTTTCTCTGGACCTGTTCTAATTTCTCTGAATCCTCCTTAAAGTGATTATTATTTGTAATTTACTTTAAATATGGCTTTTCACTGACAGGCAAAGTACAATGTTAAAATAAATAAGACCTAATTTTTGGGTTATCCCTGTTGCCTGCTTTCCATGTGGGCAATCACTCTTTTTGGCCATGTTCTGCATCACATGGTGAGAGCCATACCCTTGTGTCTTTCCATACGTATGGCCACTAGATGAGCTGGCTGGGACAGTGGTAGAGCTAGCAGGCAGGATCCCACAATATCATTGAAGTATTCAATATCTGTCTGTACTTACTGCAGAAATAGGACTAATGGATTATATAAGTAGAATTTTCTTCAGCTGAAATTAGTAACACCCATACTGATCTGACTGCAATCTGAAGCACAGAAGAATTCCTAAGACTACTGAATAGCACTATGTTCAATTAAAACATCTTTTTACTTCAGTATGTGAGACACATGCATTAGCTATGCCTGAAAGCCTCAATTGTTTAGATATATTGTCTGAAGTTCCCAAATCTGTCATTAACTTTTGTTTACAATTGAAAAATTGTATTAAGATAGATATTGTGGGCAAGCAACATGGAATAATTAGTTGGAATAGCCTGCTTTAACAAAACTATGACCTAGTGTTTTGAAGAATATTAAGTTGATACCCATGATCTTAAAAGGAGATTAATTCAACAAAACACTCTTTTCTGAGTATTTTGGACATTCCAGATAATGTGTAGGAAGGACTTGGTTTTAAACTCTTTGCTGGTAGTACAATATATTCCCTCATTTGTTCTGAGCCTGTTCTACACAGACATGATTTTATTTTGCTTTGTAAATAGGGGGTTGGGAAAAAAGATAATAGTTGAAAATGTGAATGTGCTATTATAGACTGGACTGACTTTCTACCAATGTCATGGTAAGTCTAATTAATACTATTCCATGTGGACAAGATTTAATTAGTTAAGAGTAGATAGATAGATAGATAGATAGATAGATAGATAGATAGATAGATAGATAGATAGATGTGGTTAATTTTTGGTTTATTTTGTTCTGCTTTTCGTATTATTTTGTATTACTATGTATGGTTTTTTGGCTCAGGTTTCTCTTTTGTTACAGATTAAAAAACAAAAAGTTTTAAAAAGTGATACAGTGAGGTATAAAAATGTTCCTATCCCATTATGATACAGACATACTCAACATATTCCTAAGGTACCTTTACAGCTTGAATATTAGTATATTATAGCTATCACCTTTGATTTGATGATGTCTATTACCATGTAAGTAAATAGCATGGTAGGAACACAGTCCTGTATGCTGGTCTCCTTTGGATAACTGACTAACCTTACAAATGACAGGCCTTTTTATAAATACCTCACTCTCATGAGGTTGCCCTTTTCCCAGTGTCACAGTTAATTAACTTCTAGGGATAATGATGGGAACTATTTTATTTCACCCTCCCAAACACGGGCCCAAAAGGAATGAGCCTACCTGAATGAGCTGAGGAAGCCTCCCCTGCAGCCCCCACAGATTGAGGCACACCAAAACAACTGAAATGTGTGCAGAAGGCATGACTAATGCTGGATAACCATCATTTGTCTAAGCTCTGAGGCTTGTGATGGGATCATTTACAACACCTAGTACAGAAGAAAAGAAACCTTTTCTTGCTTAAAAAAAACAGCTAGCCTTCAAAGAAAACGATGTGTTCCTCACGTCATATAAGGGCAGGCAATATTCTAATAATTTCTAATATATTACTTCCCTTTTAAAAATGGGAGAACACAGCTTTTAAATAATATTACAAATGCTTACTGATGTGTTGCACGGTTTAAAACAGAAGTGCACAAATGTCCCCAGGCTGCAAGGAGTTTCTGAAAAGCATTAGCTACAACCCCCAAAATTGCCATCTGCTTGCACTTTTTAGTGTGTTACAAGGAGAAAATTATTAAACTCATGGGAAGTAATCATAGTCACGGAATTTAATTGAATGTTAAATTTAAATCAAAGCAATTTCATTGTTGTTATAACAATACCCATTTTGTTTGGGC